GGGGGGGGATGGCGTGCTTTTTGCTGTCTTTCCTAGGGGATCCTGGAATCACAGGATCACCGATCTGGTCCTTGGAAAGCTGTCAACTGATGTCGTGTGTCCTTTTTGGTTTCGTTAGATGTCAGTCAAGTTGAGAGAAAGTGATTCCTGGCTGGACGTGGATGTATGAAAGTCACGGAGAGAAAGATACCATGATTCAGAAAAAGTGGGTCGGACAACAAGGGGCCAAGGGCGGGAGCCTCAAGGAAAAGTCGACTTCAGAAGGGACCGAGTTTCACACACGTTACGCAGCCATCCACGCCTACCTCATTCAGGGAGCTCTGCTCAAAAGTTCTTCTCTCCCCCGAGAGAATTCGATATTTCATGAAAGCATGAAAATAGAGCCTAAATATTTTTGGCTCTATTCTTGGTAGTTTTTTTCTTCAGTCTGTCCACCCACCTGTTGAAATCTAATCCCTACTAAGCATCTACAGCTCTACAGTCTACCAAGCACTGTGTTAGGTGCAGGACAGTGAAGAGAGGAAAGGAGGAAAATAGCGAGTAAGACGTGGCTCCCCCCACTCCCCACCCCCTGGCCCCCCATGATCCCCCCTCACACACACACACTCCAAGGGGCTTTGGTCTGACCGCAGATAAAATAAGTAAGTTCATTAAATGATACAGAGAAATGACCAGCAAAGGGGAACTGCCTGACAGCTATGGGGAGAGGTTAAGCTGGAAAACCCCCTTCTCAACCATGTTCCCTAAAGCCCAACCGGGAAACAGCTCGGGCCAGAGCTAAACAAATACGGTTGCGGGGAAATAAAATGAGAAATATAAGAATGCCACAGCCAGCACAGAGGGAAGCATTTTTTTCAGATCACAGACACTGAAAGCTTTCAGGGGAACATGGATAATAAGCATACAAAGAGCCAGCAGAACCAGATGGGCAATTTAAGAATTCTAGAATGCACCTGTGAGGCCAAAATAGCATGCATTCCCATAAGGTCAGAACAAAATAATGTCTAGATAACATCTCCCAAATCTCTGAGGTACCTACTAAATCTAGTTTCTACTAAGAGCAAGAGAAGAAATGATGACAGATTCAAGGGGTAGAGAATAAAGAACCAATTTGTCTCACGTAGTTAAGAGGCCACCAGTGGGGCTCAGGAGCCTTGGACCAGAATCCAGATCCATGCAAAATGCGAAGCCACCTTCGAAAGCTCAGCTCCGCCCCGTCTTCTCCCCCCAGCACCCCACTGCCCCGTGTGAGGGAGGAAGCAAGCAGCTCGCACCATGGGGAACAGGCCCAGTGAGTGGTAGCGTCTGGACGTCGTGTTGGGCACGGTCTTGTTCCGTAGGTTCTTGAGCTCCTCCTGTGCCTCGTGAAGCATCTCCATGCACTCCGCGTACTTGTCCTCCAGCTCACGCAGCTGCAGGGACCAGGGAAGCGCAGGGGGGAAGGGGTCAGGCTCTCGTGAGCACTGGTGCAAACCTACCCGCCCATACAGCCAGAAGGACACGGGCACGCTCCCAGGGGCCCCGGCACCCCGTGGCCTGAGGCCAGATGCCCAAGAGCCCTCAAGGCTCAGTTTTTCTTTCATGTGGAACATGCTTACAAACTCAGAAATTGCTTGAAACCCTAAGCAGGGGCAACTGAGATTCAAAACATCTTTAAACGAAGGGGAGAGCAAATCGTGACACCCTCGTTTCAAGGGTGTCTTTGAAAGAGCTCCCTTAACGTGGTATGCTTTGTATCACTGTCATCTCTTATTGCAGTGGTCCCCAACCTTTTTGGCACCAGAGACCGGTGCACCTATGGGAATCTGAGGCCTAATGATCTGAGGGGGAGCTGAGGCGGTGATGCTAGCGCTGGGGAGCGGCTGCAAATACAGATGAAGCTTCGCTTGCTCACCCGCTGCTCACCTCCTGCTGTGCAGCCCATTTCCTAACATGCTACAGACTGCTCCCATCCGCAGCCCAGGGTTGGGGACCCCTGCCTTATTGGAATGTTTCTCAGGAGCCCGTCCTGTTGTGTGGCCCAGTTCCTAACAGGCCACAGACTGCTACCCATCCGCAGCCCAGGGTTGCGGACCCCTGCCTTATTGGAATGTTTCTCGGGAGCCCCTGCACACCAGTCTCCGGATTGGTAGACAGCCCAGCCCCCTAGGCGCCCATGGCCAGTAATGGCATAAGCAGGAATTAGTTTAGGAGTAAAAATGACATTAGATTCAACTTAAAAACGGTTGTTAAGGTGGACATGACCCATAGCCAGTCAGAGGGAGGCTGATGACCCCCTAACTGGAATTGGGGGCCCTGATGAAATGAGGGAGAGCCACTCACCTCGGCCGTGAGCTGTCGCTGGGCGTCCTTCGCGGCCCCCAGGTGCTGGACGAGTTCTTCATTTTCCACTGCACACTGAAACAGGAACAAAGGGACATCGGCTTCTCTTACGATGCTGAGAAAAGTCTCACTTTTTCCTTCTTAGTATCTGATCCGTGATGATCCCATCGCACTCCTACAGTGCAGCTTTTATAGTGGAGTGGCGTTTCACCTTTTACACAATTTTGGAGGCAGTCTTTCCCACGCCCACATTCATTCCCTCTCGCCCACCCGCGCCCCCACCCCCAGTCTCGGCTGCTGTCCAGAGCATTTCACCTCCCGCTTCTAGCGAAGGCCCAGCGTGGGAAGCTGAATCGCTCTGAAGGAGATGCTGTCCGCTGCAGGGCAAACCAGGCGCACTCCGTAAAAACACTGGGTGACGGTTCATGAACTTAAATTCCCCAACTCCGTATCTACAGCACCTTTTTAAATGAATTCTACTAATCTGCAGATTATTCTTTGGAGAAAAGCGGTGATAAAGATTATACTAGTGAAACCACTAAGCTTTTTCTCCAAAGGGGCAGCACAAACTCCTACGACATGAAATCAAATGGGACGGTCTCCAGTGGGTAGATGCCCCTGCTTGAGCTCAGAACGGCCCTCTCTGTGTCAGCCAGAGGAACAGAGCTTACAGCTTTTGCCTTCTTCTGCAGATCGACTATTTGTGACAGCAGGTGTGTGATCTCCTCCTGCTGGCGGGCAGCATCTTCGGTCTTCTTGGCCAGTTCCTCTGAGATGCTGGCAATCTGCACGTTGGCGTCCCCTTTGACCAAGAAACAACCATCACAAGGGTAGGTCAGAAAGCCTGACCTGCTAACCAAGAGAGAATGGTTTCTCTGTGGTTTGTGCAAGAAACATCTTTATCCTAAGACGTGAAGTAGGGAGTGGGTGGTGGGGGTAGGGGGCGAAGAGGCTCATAGCAGGAAGGAACCTAGGGTCCCCACTTTGTTCTACGGTGAAACAAAGCAAAGCGGCTTCCCTGGGCTCAGTCGGTCATGAAAAGGAAGCCAGCCCCCCAGTCATGGCTCAGTGGAGGGGCCTGACTCCAGTGACCAAGGCCGCCCCCCTCCCCTGAGGAAAGCAGGCAGGCTTCAGGCGTCAGCCAGGAGGCACCACACCAACACAAAGGTGCGTCTGGCCGCGTCCCCAAATTCCACGCACGAACGGATCCACGTCACCTACAGGGACCCTGCTGCACCCTGTTCTAGAAAGAAACTCCTGCCACGCACAGCACAATTTCCTCAGGTGTTTTCAACCTATATTCAGAGCCCAAACTCATTTTACTGGAGTCGAACATATGGTGTGTTTCACTGACGTAGGTTTTTTTTTTTTTTCTGCTGAAGCTCAAAATATTCTGTTCACCCCTTTGTCTGATCTTAACTTGTAAACTTACAATAGAGACGGTAGAAAGAAGTGTGTACTTGTAAAGCTGAGAACTCTTACCTTGACTTTTACCAATCAAATGACTAGAAAGCGGGTTTCCCACAGTTCTGTGTATTTCAACATAGAACTCAGAAGCCAGGCCTAACTTAGCCATTACATAATTCCAATAGTCCAGTAGAAAGCCGACATTTACATTAAATATCGGTATCAGAGAGACATTGAGACAAGGTGTGACTGACAGCCTAGCATCCAATTTCTCAGAAATCAGGGCGAGAGGTGCAGCACCAGACCAGGGGAGGCCTCTAGTTTTAAGCAAAATGCTACTGAGCCCAGGCTGGCAGGGAGACTGTACTTTGTCAGGAGGATGCGAATCTGTCTGGTCATAATGATGGCAGATGCGGGAAGGCAGAAGAGGGAATAGGAGTGGGGTAGGAGGACCAGGGACATACTCAGCTCCTTCACACAGTCGTTGACCAGCTGCTGCTCCTTCTCTTCGTAGGTGATGGTCTCCGTCTTCAGCTGGCAGGCCTGTGGACAAGGCCCAGGTCAGAGGCCCCGCATCCACACCTGGACCGGCGGGGCAGGCAAGGCTGGGGCATGGAGCAAGGGCTAACCCGGGTCTGTGAAGCCACCCTTCAGCATCTCCGCACCTGTCACCCATTGCACCCTCAAATACGGAAAGTCAATCTGAACCCCCCACTCAATGAATCTCAGATTTCCAACACTGAAAAATGTGTACCACGAGAGGGCACCACACGAGCAATGCACACAAATGCTATCCACCCTGCTTTACTAAAACTCTGTAAGACCACCCTTGGGTCCAATCTGTCTGTCTGAGTCATCTGTGTCTGTCCTGGCTCATAGCCGTGAACCCCTCTGGGACCCAAACAGTGCCCAGGACACAGCTCTGCCCACCACCGGCATCCTGAGGATAACCACAACGCGAATGGCTAACACTTACATTCACCTACTATGTGCTGGGCACTGTCCTAAGAGATTGAGTCTGACTTAAACCTGGTGTATTCAGCTGAGCAAAACAAGGCACAGTATGAAAGCATGCAAATCCAGAGACCCAAGAGCTATTCCAGGATGCGTATGGCTTGCTCCTGGCTAAACAGTGGGGAAGACAGAGATGTGGAGACCTCAATGAGAGAAGGTGTCTCTGAGCCCTCAGGTCCTGGCCCCAGCGAGACACCCCTCCTGAAGGCCGAGATGGAGTAGCCGGACTCTCTGACTGGATCAGCAGGCTTTAGGTGAAGACTCTGACAGAGGGTCCTCCACTCGCTGTGTGCCCAGCACTACAGCGTTTACCTGGGGCAGGTGCTGGAAGGGGCAGCACTAGACTCAGAATGGGGAGCACTGGGCTGTCGTCTTGGCTCGGACACTGGCTGACAGAGAGGCTGGGCAACCGTCCATAAATGAAGAGCTGCAGGAGGTGAGCTCTAAGAGAAAATGACCCTTTTCTTATGCCTAAGAGCGTCCTTGTGAGCCCAAGGCATGAGGCTCTTTCCAATGTGTGGACAAGTTCAAGGGGACAGGTGGTCTATTGGAGGGGCTTTGGGAGCCCTGGGTCAGCTCAGGGGGACATGCAGCCCAAACCTGACCAACAAGGGCCTGATAAACAAGGCTGCACCGTAGTCTGGCTAGAGGGCATAAACGCACTGATAATTAAGACCAAAAGTACGAAATGTGCATGTATCAGCATTTCTGGGTAAGGACAGTGGGTGGAGGGAAATGTGAGGTTTGGAGTCACATTTGCAAGTCCTGGTTTTGTCCTTCCCTAGCTTGCACGGCCTTCCTTAGGAAATCAAAACACCTAGCAGCCTGCGACCTGCTTTTCCCACTTGTGAGAATCAAAGTCACCAGCTTCCCATTTCTTTGTGAAGAGTTTTAAAAATAAGGCAGGCAGAGCGCCTAGCACAAGGACCAGCCAACCAGGAAGAGCCAAAATGCGCACGTTTCCAAGGAGCCTCATCGCAGCCTTTGGAAGCGAACTGTCTGAGAAGTCTGTCCCCACGTTCTCGGGCACGGCTTCCTCAGAGCACGTCTGACCTGCCACCGATGACATGAGAATGAGGCCTCCGAGACACGTCAGAGCCGCAGACTGCGATGGAGAGACCCGCCGTGGGGGCGTGTGCCCTACCTGTGACGGACGACGGGTCTGCCACGCTCGCCCACCCACATGCTGCACAACCCACCGCTCGGGGTGCTGCACGGCTGTCCCGGGAGGCAAAGCCAGCACAGGACGGAGGGTGCCAGCCGGGCACGTGGCGAGCTCTGCGCTTCAGTTCCGGTGGTTCTCCCACGGACGGTCACCTCTGAGAACGGCGCCATCACCACGGCTGTTCTCGCCGGATAAGGCAGCTGGGGGACAAGAGCGGGGTGGACACTGCACCTCGGATCGAAGCACGACGTTCTCCTCTTCGAGGTCCTTCAGCTTCTTCTGAAGAGAGTCCAGATGAAAGTAGCTCTGGACCGAGGGTGAGGACTCGTTTCTCTTCAACCTGCGGGTGAAAGTACGGGCCCTTTTGAAGGGGACACACATTCCTCCCCGCAGCTGGCACGCCCAGGAGCGTCAGGGGACACGCGGGCGTGACAAGGATCCATCAGGCCGCTCCCTCGCCCCCAAGAAGACAGGGGGCAGCTGACACACAGGCTGGCCGCCACTTCAGACTCACATCCCAACCCTTTGTCCACAACTGGCCGTTGCCACATGGCCCTCAGCTTTCGGGGGAATCAGCTCTACTTGAAGCCCACACCATCCCAAGATGCCTGGAGGTTTATTTAATACTTAAAATGCACTTCTAGGTGCCTGGAACTGTTATAGTACTCGACATGTATTAATGCTCGTAACGCTATGAATTAAGTGCTCTTACCCTCATTTTATAGATGAGGAAACAAGCACAGAGAGGTCAAACAACTTGGCCAAGAGCACACAGCTAGAGAGCCACAGAGCGGAGAAAGGGATCAGGCCGCTGGGCTCGGGAGTCCTCGCCCCTGACACGGGGCTCTGACGACTCTCAGAAGCCCCCACGCCTTCCGTCGAGGCCCCTCCACAGCACCTCTGGCTCCAGAACCCTGTGTTTCCCCCCAGCAGCAGAGGCCACCCCGTTACTCATCAACACGCCAGGCCAAAGCAACCTCACCTGACAAACAAGCGAGAAAACCCCGTAAGAGGAAAACTGAAAACCCGTCCTTCCACGTCCCGCTAAAATAGCAAAATCGACCTCTGTGCGAGGCACTCGGACACGCCCGGGCTGCAGGAGGCGACCTGGCCTAGGCAAGTCCGAGCACATGGCCAGCGGCCGGCCTGCGCTGTGGCCCCTGACACGCGCCCTGGAGACTTACGGGGTGGAACACGTGGACTCAGGCTCGCTCTCCTCGGCGGCACTGGTGTAGAACTGGAGCAGCTCATCCTTCATGGACAGCTCGTGCCGGAGCTGAGACACCTGCACACACGTGGCCGGGGGCAACCGTTCACTTCCCCGAAGTGACACCGCCCCGCTGACGCTCCAGCTCTGCTCGGGGCAACACTTACAAGCTCTCATTAAAAGCGAAGGCCTGTCACTGATTTTGTGCTAGTCGAAGAGAACAAAGCGTTGAATTGGATCTCTTCGGGAAAAAATACGGTGAATTACTTTTTGGCAGAAATCCCTCTGCCTAAATTTATCACTTTTACTTTGGTACAGAGGAGAGGTGAGAGGGGACTAGAAGGTTCTAGGATGATGTCTTGGGGGGACAAGGTAGCATATGGGCTTTGCAAGCAGCCAGATGACCAGCTGAGCAAATGGCTCGCGAAATGGATCATGTTACCAAATGAAAGACAAGGCCACCTGCGTCTGCCGAAACCAAAGCTCTCCTGGGACCAGGGCCCTGGGGGTGCCAGCTGTGGGGGTGGGCAGCTACATGCAGCTGGTCAACCCTCGTTCGCACACTTGGAAAACCTCACGGCTCCGCCCTGTGACCACTGCACCCTCACGGGGCTCCCAGCCAAGCGTGGCCAGACCGTGCTCTGTGCTCAATGATCACAGGTAGGAATTCAGATACAAGAAGAGGCAAGTATCAGGAACTGGCCATACCAACTACCGCCAGGACAGTTTTGCAAATCACACTGATTTATACCTTCCGTGTAAAATAAACGAACCTGGGCCATAAAATTTGCCGCTTGCCCTTCCACCATTTAGTACTGATGACTAGGGAATTCTGCTATAAACGAGGACCGGACTTCTGTTTTAATTCCTTCTTGTTTCTAATTTCATTTAGGGTCTGCGCTTTGTTCCAATTTTCCTACACAACACAGTGAATATATTATGACATCCATGGAGAAGCCAATTTTAGGTCCGCACGGGCGTTAGCTTTAACGCCTAGACTGATGACTTCATGTGGTGCCAAAGGGGAACATAGTACAGTGTTCAAGTTCAAAGCTTTTACTCATTTCCACTCCCCCAGCGTACGATGCTCTTTGTGTGAGACGAGGTAGCCCCAAGGACGGGCAGTAACATGGGGAAGCAGCACGTGAGGGACAACAGGTGACCATTTACCGGTCCCTGGGTGGCATGTCCGTCGGTTCAGAAGGGACTGGGAAGGGAGCCAGGCTGACCTGGCATGCTTTAGTACCCGAGAGAAGGGGGATTCAGGTCATAATGTGGGGTGCAGGGAAAGCAGGAGTTAACTTCTCCGAGAGCAGAAGTATATAGTAACGTATCATCTTTTAAAGAAAGCCCATGATTAAAACTTTTCTTATATAGTGACGACTCTGTTTCATCATATTAAAACTAATATTAAACCCAGATAATGATAGCTCGGAATTGCTTTAACGAGGAAAACCTTCGAATACACCTTAGAAATACAAATAAGGGCATCCTGTCCCACTAAGAAAGTTTCTGGTAGAAAATAAGGGAGAAGAAATGAGAAGAAAGGCAATGAAAGTTATCACAGTTAAAGTTCATTGCTCGAAGAACAGGAAGTTACAAAGTGGGGCTCGGCTCTCCGACCCCGTCTGACTCCACAGAGCCTTCCTCCTCCTGCCCGCGCCCCAGCCCGTCCAGAAAGCCTCAGCCCCTTAAGATCAGCCCTCGACTTTCACGCCCCTCTCTCTGCCCCTGCTGAGATCCGATAGCCAAGATTTGTATCATGAAAATAATGGGGTTTCTATCATGAAAACCACAGGCTATTTTTTTTGTTTTACAAGCACAAAATTATACTGCGGTGACGACTGTGTGGCCGCCGCCTTCGCCTGCAGCATGGCCACCCCGCCCCGACTCGGGGACCCTGCTCGTTGTGTGTCAGCCTGCCCCGCGCTTTGGTCAAGCGCTGCGTGTCTGTGTCAGCCTACGTGATGATCTGCACTCGTGCAGGACAGGGACTGTGGCTGGTCCCAGGCCTGCCGTGGGACAAGACACTGTGGGTCTCCTGAAAGAACAGGCTCCTGGGCGACCTGGTCCACACTCTCCGAAGGAGACACAGTGAACAGAAGGTGCTGCCGAAAGGTGGGATTCTGTGTCTGGGCGGCCACTTTGGAACAGGACTTGAGCGTGCCCTGGGCGGGCGGGGGGCCGGGCGTGGCGAGGGGGACCCCGTGACGTCACCGCCTCCGACCACGCCTGTGGCACCGCCTTTGCGTCAGCCCTCACCTCCTCCCTGATGTGCTCCACCTGCTCCTCCAGTAGCTCGTTCCGCTCCGTGAGGGTCTTGTTCTTCTTCAACAACGACTGGCCAATCCGAGCAGCCAACTCTAAATCTCGCTCTTTCTGTGAAAGGCAGAAGCGAGAGCAGAGAGTCAAAAAAACCCAGGCTTCCTGAAGGAGCCAGCAGCGCTCAGTGCTGGCGGAGGAAAGCAAGCACGTTAGAAACGACGAAGGGGTTAATAATTCACCATCCGGTCACCGGCGTCACCAGCATTTGATACCCATTCAAAGAGGAGGATGGTCTGGCCACATAATGTGCAGGAAGGAGCTACACAGACCTCAAGCAACGAGAGGGAGCCTTCAAACCTAATAGGAGTAAGTCTCTGTTCAAACAGGGAAAAACCTGCTCCCAAAAACATTTCTTCACAACTGCATTTGATATCTGCGTAGTCATTTGATACCCCGTCTCTCTGTGGAGAGCTGAGGGCTGGGTATTGTCACCAGGGCCCAGCACGTGGAAACTCTCAGTGACTAGGAGCTGCATGAGTGAATGAATCCAGACAGTTCAAGTGCTCTTAAAATAAAGCCAGGAGCTGACACCAGGAGGCAGCCTCTTCAGCACTTATTAAGCTGGAATGTATCGCGTTCCTTACATTTGCCTCATCCGACTGGAAAATGTTTCAAGTTACTCTGAAACAGTAACATGCTTCTTTCACTTACTGGGAGGCTACTTAGGGTTTACTTAAAACAAACGCAGGCAAAATGGAGAGAGGCGATGCATAAAATCGCCCTACTTCAGAGACAAAGAGGTGTTAGGGACACAGGATTTTCTGCTCAGCTGATGACATCACTCAGAATAGAGCGGTACGAAGAGGAAATATTTAGCGGTATATAAAGGTACAGCTGCTTTGATGAGAGGAAAAATGGCTGCTGACTGTGGAGATGTGAGGTGGCTGCCGACACCAAAAGCAGACTTACCGATCCCTGATCAATGTGGTTAGATTCAACTTGCTCAATTGGGTGGCAAGCGGAGGAGAACTCTGGAAATCTAAATTATTTTAGAAGCTGATGCTAATGATGCCATTCACCTGGCGTAAAAAGCAGATGAATGGAACATGTAGTTGTTAAGAAAAATAATATAAACAACCCCACTTTAAAATGGAGCTGGAACTACCATGCCAGAGGAACTGCCTTGCACGTTTTATGCCTCAGACCCGTGGGAGGTTAAAAACGGGGCAGCATAACCTTGGGACTGGGCCTAAAGCAACCTTGTGTCCCGAAGGACTGTTTGCAAGCATAACAAAAAAGCAGATATTATGACTAGCTGGCTGTTGGCTCCTGGACTGAAAATTAAAAACGCTCTTTAGAATAAACATCACGATGTTAGCTTCGCTGCATCAATAGAAATGCCTTCCATCTTTTGTAATCACTCCGCTTCCCTTTCTCAAAGATACCCCTTGCCTTTGTCTCCTACCTGGAACATGATTTGGGCTTTTGCCTGAATCAGTGCTTCCTGAATAGCTATTCTTCTTCTTCTTTTAACCCAAATAAATGCGCGTTGCCTCTCATTTTGAAAGGCCCTTTTATTTTTAGCTTAACATAGTTAAGAGCAGGGGAAAAAAAAAAGCTGGGAGGAGTCCTAGCTTCTGAAGGGCTAGTAACTAAGGACATGGCCTCGGGGTCAGTGGCATCTGTTTAATAAGGATCAGGTACACTCGAGATTAGTCTCTTCCAGAGACGGGTGGTAACCTGTGAGCAGGATGAGAATCACTTTAGTAATGGCAAGTGACATTCCAGTTGAAATGGAATTCCACAGCACAGAGCTGAAATGCCAAAGTGCGTTCCACGTAACAAGGGCGCTATTTCACATTTAAACTTCCGTTTGTCATCTATTTACTTATGTGAGTACTGAGTCACAACCTAAGGTGTGTTTCCTGCAGCAGGTGCTGGTCCAAAGTTGAACTGCTCCAGGCGAACCATCCCACTGTGAAACTATGAGCGTTCGGGTTCTGATTGAACATTCCTGGGCCTGGTTCCCTCGTCTGTGAGATGGAGTAGGGTGAGATACCCTTGAAAAAAATCTTCTACATTTACGATTCATTGACTTGTACAATGAAGAAGCAAAACAAAATGAAAACACACATACACACACAACACGAGCAGCTATTCCGTGCGACAGCAGTATATCTTCCCCTTGCTTACCGCAGGAGTTACATTGAACCGCTGGAGGTCAAAGTATAGTTTGGGAAGACTCTGGATTTGACAGGTATTTGTCTCTCCGTCTTGCACAGATGATGGTCTCTCTCCCCTAGGTCTTCAACAGTCCTAAAATCTGTAACTGCTATCACCCCTGTCCCAGAAAGCCAGCCAGGTATCATGTGAAGTAAGCCACATAATACGTCCAGCTCATTCCCACAATTTGCGTCTCCCCAGCCTCCCTCCCCATGGGACGAAGAGGGCCAGTGAGTGTGCCCAACACCTGAGATGCTCTCTCTGTGTCGTCACCCAGTCGGCTACAGTGTCTACCAAGGAAGGTCCTTCTCTCAAGGGCCCTTTATCACACTTCAGACTCAACGGTCATGCTTGTTTGGTCCCTGGAGGAAAGGACCCAAAGGAATCGCGTGAAGGAACTTGCACACCCGCCTCTCGGGGGCCGACTCCCAATCAGCATCTAGTGCGTGTGGTCTCAGCCGGCTAACACTCCGTTAAAACCGCAACACCAATGTCCGTCTTCCTTCAGAAGTGCAGTCAAGTCGATGGACGTTCTCTGCTAGAACAAGTTCTCGGACTCAGGACCCAGCAGGTGCTCACCGCCCTCACTGTCTGCGTCCCCCTTGTGCAACTCTGGGGGTTCTGAATGCGTCACCCTAAGATGTGCCTCTGTGGTGTGCACACTGTTTTGAGCTAAAGGCAACCTTAGAGGAGGGATCAAGAGAAACCTCTGCTCCTCCCTGAACTACCTACAAGAACTTGAATTACGGGCCTTGCCCACAATACGAGACTGTCGGAGATAACCTCTTTCGACCTCTCTTAAGGGCAGGACAAACTTCTATTCACTAAGCACCTGCTCTTCTTGGAAGTCCCCAAGGCACCTCACCTCATCCCTAGCTCAGGATGTCTTACATACCACAGTCACTTTCTGTCTCTGAACCTCTCCTGCATGTAGGGTCAATGACTTGCTCATGTATGTGGGGTTCCAATACCTACATGTGTCTTAAATGTGGTTATTTTCTCTTGCTCATCCGTCTCACGTCTCTTTGATTATTCGACCAGCCAGAAGAAACCTTAAGGGTAGAGGAACATTTGCTCCCCACACATCCAAGCTGCTGAGTTCCAAGCACAGTCATTTGCTACGCTTGAGCCACATTTTTATGCAGATTCCACTGTAAGCGAATCAAGCAAAAATTATAACAATGAAGACCAGCTGGGAAAGGCACTGCTCAGGCACATGAAGGAGGCTGAGGGCTGCCCACAGCGCACGGAGCCCAGAACCCAAGAGGAGCGAGAAACAGAAAGGGGAAAAAAAACAGGTGGAGGGGGTGCACTTAACAACTAAGCCCCTCGCCTCTCCCCATTACACCCCAAGCCTCCCCTCCCCCTGCCCAACTGAGGGGGAGCTCTCACCTTGTCTACACCAAAAATCTAATCTTTATAGTAAAACTCTGCTGGGAAACATTTTTTTTTTAAAGCAAGACGTTACAATAAAAATAAGGATGAAATGAAAAAAAAAAATCTAAACAAAAAGTTATCCTAGTGTTTCTGTTGTTTCTTTACTAAAGTGATGGGCAGACTGGTTGGGTTTCTCTTGGAGAATTACTAGAATAAAAAAAACAAAACAAAAAACTCCCGTTTCTTACAACCAGCCAACATCTAATCAGTGTTTACTTCTAAAAACAGGAGAACAGCTAAGGAAACGACCATCAGATTAAACTACAATGAGAATAAAAGACTAGAAATAAATAATTTAGGGCTTTGGAAATAATCTATTAAAAGAACTGGTTCTTTTCGTCCGCGGGAAACTCGGCCAGGTGGGGTCATTCTTACTCTGCCCACTCCCTCTCCTCAGACACGCTTTCTTTAAGACGACTGTGACTTGTGCCTCAGCCCCTCTTACCAAGGAACACATGTGCTGCTGACATAGGCCCTGGAGCTGGCGAGCAGCCTGCCTCCAACACTTCGCCGCTGACTCATCCCATTCACCAATTTCAAGAGAAAGTGTGACTAAGAGGCCTTCGGAATAACCCTCTCTGTAACTGGGGAGGAGGCAAGCCTTGCCCAGAGATAAATTCCACACAACAGTGAGCCTGGGGAAGCTGCTGCATCCTCTTCCCCTTAAATACAGAAGTGAACTCCACGCTGGCCAAGGGCTGTGCTTTGGCATCCTGTGCAAATCCTGCCAGCAAACCCACCTGCATGTGGCAGGCGTGCAAACCAGAGCAAATGGTCACGATTGGAGGAAATGGAACCTCGGCCAAGAAAAGCACAGCACAGTACAACTGTCACATGACTGGGGCAGTTAGATGTTAACCAGGAAACCTGCCTTGTTCCAAAGAAAGGCAGTGACACAGATGCAATGCTTATCGGGAGATGGAGAGGAAGGGCATAGATAAAACACGCAGAAACACACCAACCACTGCTGTGACGAGCCACTAAAAATAAAACCAGGCACAACAGAGCCGCATGGTAAACTGTCCCATGAGTATTCTTTTCAGTAACTCGATTTTTTAAAAAAGACAATAGCATACTCCTCATACGGTGGCATTCATTTAGGAAATCAGCTGGGGGGAAGTGAACTGTTTTTAACCAAATCTGCACAAAGGGTTGGAGTCCTGGGCAACTTTGGAAGCCATCCTCCTGTGTCCAAGCAGAGCTGGCCCAGCCCTGCCAGCTCAAACTCAGTGGGAGCCAAGAACACGGGCAGTGGACACTCACGGAAGCAGCGTCCTCTAAAAAACATGACCCGGTTCACGTTTTTAAAGTAAAAATGTCCCACTGCCAAGTAACTAACCGTATTCCCCAAAACTAAGTCCACAGGGCAGTAAACACATAACCAAAAGCAAGGGTCACACGCACTGCAGTCAGGGGCCTGTTGGAAAGCAGCCAGGCCACCCTGGGTGTCCTCTGTTCTCTGAGATTCAGGTCCCTTCCCTGTAGGATGGGGAAACAGTGGCGCCTACTTCTGAGAGCTACCCCAGAATTAATGAGATGACACATGAACAACACACAGCTCTCAGTCAAATTTCAGCCTCAATAATAAGGCTGACAACAGAGGCCGGCAGTGATCAAAGGCCTGTCATTGCCAAGATTAAAAGGGAGGCGGAAATCATCCAACTGGGTCCCCCGTCTTGGGAAAGTTTCTAACGAATGCAGTTGGATGAACAAAACACACAGAACTGCAGGGTGCCTCCTGTGCTCAGGGCTCTGTGGGGGTACAGACAACCTGGGGATGCGGTGACGGTGACAGCCTCAGAGGTCACCGGTGAGCCCCGCAGCACAACACTCAAAGCCAGGAAAAGACAGAGGTGACCAAATGGTGCACAAGGTCAAGAGCGGGAGAGGAGGAGGCAGGTCCACGGTGACAAGGAACGGGACGTTTTCAGAACGTGATCAAGTGCGTGGCTTTGAAAGCCGCTCCGAGGAGTTCTAAGTGTCAGGAAAGGGCCAGGTGATTACCGAGGGCTTGGGACAGTGACAACGGCAGGAAGATTAGAGGAGAAAGACACTAAACACTCACTGCTGAGGCTCCAGGAGCTGGAGTGGTGACCTTGGAGTAAAAATACAGGCACAGACATAGGACCCCTCAGAAGACCTGACGACTCACTGGGAACGGGGTGAGCGGCGGATGCTGGAAACACGGCAAGATGTGGAGGGCAGTGGCGTTCCTGGGGCTAGTGGACACAGCAGGAAGGGGTCCGTAATAAACCCTCCGCTAATGCCGGCCACCAAGATGGCTGCAACTAGAGCGCCACGGGAAGGCCTTTTCCCCGCAAACGCTTCGCCATTGGCCCTGCCACAGCCAAAAGCCCGAACATCACTCATTTGGGGTTGAGGAGTTTGTAACGTCTATGACATGCAGGTGGTCAGGTGGGGCTCAGCGCCTGCTGCCACTGAACCCTACTGGGTCTGGTTGCGAGCGGCCTTTGGGAGAAGGGAAGGGGAGTGGGCTGCAGGGGGAGTGAGCCCTCCGGAACTGAGAGGGAGCTGGAAGGCTCCAGCCCTCAGAGCAGGTATGAGAACGCTTGATGTGCAGAAGGGGCAAACACAGGGGAAGAGAGAGACATCAAAAATGGGGTAAAAAGATGCCCCCCCAAAAAAACTCTGGGTCCCATCACTCCTGCTCGGTCTTGTGTTTCAACCTAAACATGACAATAATGATTTCTATGTTTCCCACATCCTTCTATTCTTAGGGCTATTAGTAGGGCTAATGAATGGTCACGTGACCCAAAGTCATTCTCGATTCTAGAGCAGAAACGAGGGTCTAAAAATTAGCATCTGTGCATTTAAGGCCTGATTGGGGGGGGGGGGAGGGGTAAATGGGGGGCGGACTAAAGACGGGCACTTAATAAATATTTACTAAGAACCTATCATGCTGTGGCCTGTTCTAGGCATGGGGAATACACACATTATACTCGACTGTTTTTAAAGGCCTTCATAGCTCTGTAATTCTCGACTGCCAACACAGTGCTGGGAAGAAAGTGACAAAACCATGGTCTCTAAAATACCAGCAGCTCATCCAATCCTCAGCAAGTTTCCTAAGTTTTCTTGCCATGCTTATTTTGGTTATTTCCAGGCTGACGCTGAGTAAATATCTCCTTAATCGTATGTAAACAAAACAAACAAAGATATGGGTAATGATGTATTTTTCTGATATTTTTTAGGCACACTTAAAATATATCCTAACAAAGCTTTTGAGATTTTTTTTTTTTTTAATCTAAAACTGGGTATTCTAGCAGGTATTTCAATGCTACCTGATTTTGTCATTAACACCTTGTACAAAGTTACAGCTACCAAGACTAACATGGCTACCAGTTCAAAAAGCAAAGCCACGACATCACACCCTGAGAGGGCCCGATTCCGGAGAGTCTTCACGCGGATGGACAATAACGTACGCTTTAATCGATATAAGCGATATTCGATCACTGATGAGGGACTCTTCGCCTCCCCCCAAAACACTTACCTCCTCGAGCAGCCGGGTGACAGCGTCGATGTCATTGTATGTCTTAGTCATCTGGCCCACTCTTTCAGCACATAAAACTGCAAGAAACGGAGCTAACAATGAAACTTCCGATGACACGATCCGCCAAACAAATGACCCATCTAAAACAGCGGCCCCCGAGCTGTACCTGCGTGTTAGAGGGGCACAAAGCTGGTTGGTTTTGCAGAGTTCGACCCACACTGTACTCAGTAGGTTTCACTTCCCAGTTCCAAGGAAGAGTCCTGAGCTTTGAGGGAGTGAGGGGGTCGGAATGACCTCTAATCCCTGCAAAGCCTTGACATTGTGTGTGACATACTTAGACGTGGTGCTGGGGGGCGAGGCACTGGAGTGGAAAGGGGCCTGGCCTCATGTAAATTCAGTCAACTGAAATGGGTCAGCAGCAGAGACACGACAGTTATCAGAAAGACCTACAGGATGTAGACCTCGCTAACCCCCGAGACCCAACCACGCGGACAGAGTGGGATCCTTCAGAAAGCAGCTCTCGGGATAATTATTAAGCAACAGTCTTAGCTGATAATTTCAAATGGCACAGTGCCCCACGCCCTCCCCAAATGGCCTACATGCTAAGGCTGTGTAACCAGTTTCTATACTAAGAAAACTTGGGTGATAGATTTTTTTTTTTAAATCCACACCAAAAAGACTATTATCACTATACACACACACACAGACACACACACTACACGGAATAATTGATATTTCACTATACATATAATTTACCATGCTCATAAGAGGCTGCATCAGGCTACTTCAGGACTGTGTGTGTTTGTTTTCCTTTCCTTTGAGGAAAAAGCTTGTGCAGTGAAGGAAGACTAGTCTGCTGAAAAATCTTAGGGTTCTTTTGTTTTAAACCAGTAGCAAGGAAACTGATTTACAGTTCAACAAACACCAAGAAGTAGCATGTTTTTTTTTTTTTTCTGTAGAGGAAGGAGTAAATGCAAATGGATTTAAGGCCAAAGTGTAAAAGTTTTTGAAACCTGCCACTTTGGGGCTAAATAATAACTTCTTAGTAACTCTTCTCAACTAAGGCTTCAGAGAGTAATTCTTTAACAGTCGAAGACCTAGTTCAGCTTTGGCAAGGACCCACATTCAGTATCAACTCATGCAAGGCATTTGGGAACTGAAGTGTATTACTGAGCCAAACTCAGCAGCAAGCCGCAAGGGGAATGCAATAGGTCTCTAAATATTTTACGAAATGCAAATAGAGATCATCCTAGTAAAGGAGCTCAGAGAAATCTGATCTGTTGGAATGATTTCCTTTAGAAGGTGACCTGAAATCTGGTTCCAAATCTGAAACCCAACCAACACAGAGCCCTAAAGCCAGGTAAGGGGGCTCTTCTCCAAGCCTCCCCAACTCACCCAGCACTTGAGGGCAGAAACTCTTTTGCCAGCTGGAGAGAAGCACGTCCACTGCCTCGGGCACCTTCGTCCCTGCACCTTGGAGCTGCCAGGTGTGGGAAGGCAAGGGGGATTTATAAGGGTTGGTTTAAATGAGGATTCAATTTGATGGAGATGGGAGTCCAGCTCAAATTGCTCTAAATAGTTCATCAGCTCGAGGTCACAAGAAATCTTTAAGTGAAGACTCCTACGCTGTGGACAGGAGTTAGTTTTCATGCCGTACAGCTGCCACATTCTGCTACAGAGCAGATAATGACGCTGGAGGCCTCCGGCCAGCTCTCCTGTAGGAAAGCATCGGCACCGCCCACCCCCTTCATCAACTGGAAATGGGCCACAGCAGTTACAAAAGGCCACTGTGCTGAAATCTGTATTGTGACCGAGGACCTGCTACTGCCCACCATGCTCTGGAAAGACTAAGTCCTCGGCCATCCTGGAAAGACAGAAAACCAGGCTACGTTTTAACCCGTCTGGCGCCCTGTCACCCTAACATAAAAGAACAAGATTCAGAGCTGCTCTCTTCTCTGGAATTGTGTTAATCTGAAACTACTTACATTTTTTAAGCTTATTTATTTATTTTTTTTTGATGTAAGAAATGATACAGAGATCCCGTATACTCTTTCCTCAGTTCTCCCCAGTGGTGACATTTTGTAAAATTACATCACAACCAGGATACTGCCATTGGTACGCTCCATGAATCTGACTCAGGTTTCCCAAGTTTTACTCATACTCATTGGGGTGTGTGTGTGTGTGTGTGTGTGTGTGTGTGTGTGAGCGTGTGTGAGCGTGCGTGCGTGTGTGAATGTGAAGCCCTACCCGATTTCGTCACCCATGTAAGTTCATGTATCCACCACCACAAGGATCCCATGTGGTGCCCTTTTATAAAGCTAATTAGAAAAAGCCTCACCATATTTTCACAATTGAACCCCCCCCCAAAAAAAAAAACAACCACCAAAAATGTACACTTGGGCCAGTAGTTTTCTCCAGCATTAACCAGTCAGGCACACACTATCACCACATACACAGTGACAGGAGGCTTAATGGGCCTTCTCAGAGTTAATTAGGGGCCCGGAGTGACGGAGGGACCTCCGGGAAGTCCCGAGGCCTTTGACCGAGCCTAGCCATGGAGGCCAGAGGCATAAATGAAAAGCTACTGTTGATTCTGAGCTGTGAAAGTTATGTGCATTATTATTCCAAGGATGTTTTTTAAAATATATATAATTCCCCAAATTAGGATAACCATAAAAATATTGACATTTGGATGGAATTACACATTTTAACTCTTTTCTGTTGTTATTTAAAAAAATTTTTTTTGTAGTGACTGTGGACTAATTGGGGAAAAAAAATTACTTAAAATATTTTTTCTAGAAAATATAATCGCCTACAATATAAGGTCCTGGATCCTCCCTGAGGATATTTTTAAGAGAAATTAATAACAGCCGCCTAAATGGATTATCTCATTTAATCCTCAAAGCGCTACTACGGGGTAGGTGCTGACATTAACCCCATTTTACAAATGGGAAAATGAGGCCCAGAGAGGTTAAATAACTCGCCCAATGTCACAAAGCTAGTGAGTGACAAATTTCAAAATAAGAAGAAACTCCCAGTAGGAACAGCAGCTAATGTTTATGGAGTCCCAGCTATGTCTGCGGATTTAAGGCGCTTTCTCAGCTAATCCGCCTAGCAACCTGCAGGGTCGGTGCTGTTACGAGGCTCTGAGAAGTTAAGGACCTGGAGTTAAGGACCCGGCTGAGGTCACGGAGGAGAATGAGGCTGTGTGGCAGGGACTGAACCTAGGCCAGTCCAGCTCCTGTACTCAACTAGGGAACCATAAAGAACACAGGAGCAAGGCTGGGGCTGGCACAAACCAGCAGCGTTCAGGAGTGTAAACAGAGCAAGACGCACCCATGGTGGAGGGCACCAGGGACTGGTGCTCCTATGAGAATTTACTGCCTGATGATCTGAGGCGGTGATGCTAGCGCCGGGGAGCGGCTGCAGATACAGGTGAAGCTTCGGGCTCACTCGCCTCCTGCTGTGTGGCATGGTGCCTAACAGGCCATGGACCCTTGGCCCAGGGGGTTGGGGACCCCTGGAGGGGAAAGAAAGACCCCTGACCCTGGGACTCAGAGGCTTAGGTTTTTAAAGGAGACTCTACCGAGGCCTCCATAGGAGGTGAGCCCCGTGTTGGTGTCTTGAGTTTTCTCTTCCAAGAACTGAAGGGACAAGAAGTGACACCAGAGAGGGCGGGAAGATAACAAACGACGCCTTTAAACAGTAAGACAAGTGCAGGCTGCATTTCCTATCGATGTCCGAGATACGCAATCCACAATCAACCACGGTCACGTTTCTCCATGGGAACGGTATTCCAAATGGAGGTTCCATTTTCGACCAAGAGAGCTCTATCAAATAAATCCACTTCTGCCCAAAAAGACATCCAAAAAAAAAAGTAAAAGAACAGATATAAACCTCTCTCATAACTTAATATGAGAAAACTAAGGTCCAAGTCCTAGAAAAAGAAGTGAAACACGCCTACAGCAGCAAAGCTGATGTACAGCAGGCAGAGCACACATCTAGCAGTATCAAACCAACATTACAGAACACTTGTCATCATGCACCAGGCTCTGTGCTGAACAAGACAGGAGACTCACCCTCCTGGGGTGCACAGAAAACAGGTGGCCCACGTGCCTGTCAGGGAAACCCAGGCCCAGGGGTCTGGACTTTTATCATGGGGCAGTAGGAAGCCACTGGAGGGTTTTTCAAAGGGAAGGGTCCCCATGAGAGTGGTATTTCAGGGGACATCCTGGCTTCAGAACGGATGGTGTATGTGTGTGTGGCGCGGGTGTGTGATCAGCACCATCGATTACTCCACGGCTCTCCTGGGTGGCAGTGGGGATGGAGAGAAGCGGTCTTTTTTTCTTGAGAGAGTTAAGAGATAAGACTGGGTGGGAGGAAAATCAAAAAGTATAGTGTCTGGGCTTCTCACTGAGACAAATGGGACAAGAACATGTCATTTCCTGGGTCTAGTGTCCCTCTGTGAGACAGGCACGTGAGACCCAAGGTCAGAAACAAGATGGGCTGCCCCAGTTCAATCACTGGCATGGGGACAGCCTCTGGGGTCACCATGGAATACCGTGCCATGCAGAAGGCTGTCCATGCCACCGTAGCAAGAGGCCCCCCTGGCAGGAACGCCCTCCCTGGAGCTGGAGGTGCTAAATCTTGCTTTGGAAGACTCCACGGAGAAGAGAATCAAGTGCTTATTCTTATTCAAGGACGGCAGGTGGAGTCATGAGTGGCCCTGGACTGTCTGACCAGGGAAGGAAGACCTGTGATTGTCCACCACAGTTCACTGGGGGGTGGGGGGAGAGCCCAGCTCCCTGGGGTCTTTTGTCTAAAAATCAGTAATGCAACTTTTATGTAAATTAAACTGTGCCCCAAACAATTTCCATTTTCAGCTCCTGCCCATAGACATGAGATGCCAGCCAAGAAATCAGAAATACCTGTGGTGTGCAGGCCCTGAACAGAAATGGCCAGTGGGAAATTCAGCAGTGACAGGAATTGAGACTGGATAGAAACCCCCACAGGAGGAGAACGATGGGGGGTGGGAGGGGATCAGACGTGGGGATCAGACGTGGGCATCCGACTGCGC